TCCTGCGCTCGCCCATGAACAACGCTGTCCAACGCAAGGACGACAATAAGGAGCAGGACGAAGACCTGATACCCGCCGACCAATCCAACTCGCTGAGTGCCAAGGAGCAGACCGAACACGCCGTGATATCCGCGTTCGACTTGTTCAGCATCGGAGGCGAGTACCACGCAGTCACCTCGCGTACTCGCAGACTGACAGTGTCGGCGACAGTGGGCCCCAGCTCGTCACACACGGTCGGGCCCATGCGCGCGGGCAAAATCTTCATCAACGATCTGCTCGAGCTAGGACTGCTGGAAAAGGTGTGTAGCCATTGAGCTGCCTGTAAGAGTGCGCGTCCCCATGAGGTCGTGCAGGTCCACACTGTCAAAATCACGTTGTACGTTTCCTTTAACTCCGCAATCGTGGGTTCAGAGTTGTGTTGTCTAACGTTGGGGTAAAGGTATGGTTCACTGGCTGCAACAGGTCAGTACTCTCTGCACTGCTTAAACCCGTGTCTGACGGTGGTTCTGTCACGCAGGTAAAGGGTATGAATAAACATCCGTCACTCCATTTAATACCGGACTTCTTACCGTCGTTTTACAGCCACCATACTCCCCAAGCTATTCTCCTGGGATTAGAAGGTCGGCATTGCGTCCCTGACCTCCCGGTGTCTTCTTCTAAGCCCGTGTTCTAACTGCGTCCTACCTCAGGATCGGACCCGGAAACCATAGACACAGGCACTATCCCCTCCCGTTATGCCGCTATTCAGGAAACCAAGAGCCTGCTCCTTGGCGGCACGCATCACATCCACTACGATATGGATAGGGACATGCTCTGGCGGTGGGATCAGGTGCTCAAGACCCATCCGAATGGAATGCGTTTCTCAGTGTTCGGCGAGCAAGGCGATCTGCTCGCGACGAACGAATATTTTAGGTACGCGTCGTACCGTGGGCTGTCAGTTGACCCTGAAGTTGAGTTTATGGTAGCGTCGGCGGCGGATTCGTCGTGAACGAGAAGACGAAGGTCGACGAGAACCTGTTCTACAAGGGCGTCGACAAGAGTAGCGTGCATGGGGCACGTCTTCATCAGACACATAGCCTCTCTGAGCCCACCAATGAGCGGGGTGAAGAGGAAAGCGACCCCTGTTCCCCGCCGTACCCGTTTGCGGTGAGTGTGATGTGCCCGACAACTTCCTAGCACCGGGGTTGAAGTTGGCCATAGTCCGGAGACAGTCTTCTTGCGTTGACGCGGAAACACAACGTACGTGATCCACTAGAAGTCTCCGCAAAAGCCGGCGATTCTAACCCCGCCGCAGATGACGATCGCCCAAATTGTATACGACAACGAGCTTCATTTTGGCTACTCGCACGAGGACATTCGCATAAAGGTAACTTCTTTGCGGCGTCCGCATCCAGCCGTCTGACAAACCCTCAGTTGATGAGAATATGGTCTGTCATGGACGACTGCATCCGCACGGGCGTATCGACGACCGAAGAGAAGCTTCCCGGTAGACTGGGACTTCGCAGGCGTGCTCCCATGCTCTACCGACGTCTCATGCGCGGGTGTGTTCTTCACGCCACGCTATATGCAGTGTTCTCATTCACCCAAATCCTGCTAGTTTTTATCCCGGTGTTGCGGGTCCGACGCTGCCCTCAATAGCGGCCGGAAATACTCCAATACCAGAATCCATCGAAGCACCGGTTGGGGACGAATACTTTTCGCGAGCCACCGCCGACACTCACGAGAAGAAGACGGGCGAGAATAGAGTCGCTGCTTCGAGTCGCGGGACACGCGTAATCGGGTCGTTTGAGCATCCGATTCTCCCCATGCCACCTGTATGTGAGCTGTTTCAGAAGGGTGGTCACGTCTTCACAGGATTTACAGCGCAAGACAATGATACCCGCGATGGATTTTCTGTCATGCTATGCAATTGCGGTAAACGAGGTTAACGCTAGCGGAGGAAGGATCGTCACATCTCCAACGGTGCGCCCGTTGTATTGGGTCGCTGACAATATGCTCACGTCATGGTAGAACGGTGCAGCAGGAGTGATCCCAGCTGTCTTGAAATACATTGTTGAAGTATGCCTCCATCTACTCATCGTGCGATGGTTTTTCACGTATGTTCGATAGTTCATCAGTGACGATCCGGAGAAGACTATCGAGACATTCCTCTTGACGGCAGCAGTGAGTCTTTGCTATAGGGTGAATGAGTCCTCGCTGATGCATGCATGTACAGGCTGTTGGTATGCTCTTCAAGCGTGGCAGTACTATCTCAGCTGCAGAGGGTGGATGCCAAGCTGAAGTCGGTGGTAAGTCACGACTTGCTCGTCGTCGTGCGCAAATGAAGATTGATCGCATGCATCCACATAGTCGCATGCTCCATGGCCAGCGCGGGCTTTGCTGCATGTATGGGTGGTATGTGATTTATATATTTCGACGTTGAACCTTGCTCTAATTATCATCCAAAGCCGACCCGGAAACCGTCCTCCAAGTATGTAGCATATATCTGCCTTCCGTGATGGATATTAATGACCTCGTCTTATCATCCAGGCTGCTGAGATTGGCATAGGTCTGTCATGCGAGCTCCTCGACTCGCAACTTGCATAGTAACGACTCGTTCATAGAGCATAACCTTGGTTTAACATGCGATCCAATTGACGGGTTGGTTCAAGTACCTTGCATTGTTAGCAGCCCCTTTCTCCTACCGATTCACCATGCTCACAATATGTTTTTGCAGGAGCGAAACAGTCTTGGTGGTACATATCTTAAACATGCTCCGCGTGATAGGATACTGACGTAGTATCAACTGTAGCCGTCAAGGCTGTCACAGCTGCTCAGCTGTCCATGGCGAGTCAGAACGTGTACAGCGTGACTCTGGACGAAGCCATTGAGGCGATGAGGCTGACCGCTGCGGATATGAGTGTGAAGTATAAGGAAACCAGTCTTTCTGTAAGTCGTGCAGGTTTATGCAGATATTAGGTACAGTCACTGACGATGCCGTGCTATCACAGGGTCTTGCTGTATGTTGCTTCTGTTCCTCTCATATACGCCTGTCTAACCTTACTTTCATAGCGCACTGTCAAGATTCCTCTAACAGTTCCCGCATGCTAGATTAGATTCAACCATACCTCGGACCACACATAGATTTTTCACAAATATGCTTTTTAGATGTAGTGTACGTTTCCAATGCTTCTGGTTGCACTAATACAGTGATTCATGCTTTGCGACTGCCATAAGAACACAAGAGAATAAATAGATGCGATGTTTCATGTTTGGTTCGTTGACTGCTACGCTATATGAGGGACTCTAATTGACTGTACTAGATTCTTTTATTCCTCCGCCAAAGCCAACGCCTGCTCCAAGTCATCTTCCTCTTGGAGGACGGCCGAAGGCATCGCAGCGCCATAGTATATCCGCTGGCACACGATGGCTACCCACGCTTTACCATTAGCTCATGTCTGTATCGACCAGATGACTGTTCGCGTACCGAAATCAATGGAGAGCTGGAAGATTGCGCACACCTTGAACTGCAGCGGGCTACCCAGCACGAAGAAATACACAGCTCTGAAAGGGCGCACGTGAGACTGTGTTCCGAAGCAGCCCGCATGGACATACGTACTTGAAGGAGTCTCCGCCAACCCAACCTATTAGAGTCGACATGCGGAAGCCGTACAACGACTTTTGCTTGTAGTTACTAGCTGAAGCGTGAGTAGGAGATAGTACGTGAGGGGTAGGACGACAGTACCTCAAGAGTTGAGGTATGGGCAGCGTGCTCTCGAGACCAAGCGCGACGAAGCCGAGGATATTGACGAAGAGAGCTGAGCGGCCGAATATGAGGAACAGAATAGCAAGGCACAATCTGCAAGCTCGTCAGCATATATGGGATCAGGGAAGGGTGTTTACATACATGAATCCGGCAAGAAATTCGATGTATTGCGTGTAGTTCTGCCATTGCCAGAACGAGAGCGGGCGAGCCGAAGTCCCTATGTTCTCCGGACTTGACTTTGGTCGATAGAGGATACAGATATATAAGAGAGCTAACTGATGATTTCACGTGAGAGTTAGAGAGGATAACGCTCAAAGACATGCGTACCTGTGCCACGATCATGAATAACGACTGGAATAGCAAGGCGAACTCGAATTTCTCCCCCAGCCAGAAGAAGCAGCGCGTAATGTTCGCCAATAGTCTAAATCATGCTCAATATAGATCACGAATCTTAGCTATGGTACTCACAGGATGGCACAGACATCCCTAGAGAAGCCGAGGGCATCCCTATTCACGGAAGCCGTCCACACGTCAGTTACGCTCCACGCGAATAATACCTCATAACATCGTACTTCTTTCGCACAATAGAGTAAGCTTGGTCAGTATAGACCAGCGGTGGCCCAACTGCCATGCCAATGGAGGCCACTGTAGAAAGCCATGAAGGGATCATAGTGTGGAACGGAGGTAAGCTGGCGGACTGTGCGGCGTCTGTTCGGACGCGGACTCGGACGCGCTTTCGCGTAAGAAGGTAGCTAGTGTTGAATTGTCACACAAACCGCCACGAAGTCACAGTCTCTCATGTAATTAGTGGCACTTTGTTTTGGATATTGAACTATATAAAGTTATTCCCGAAAGCTTTCGGCTGTGTGTCTTAGCAGTTTAGAGCTACCGATGTGGTCACATAAGTTATAGACAGTAAACTAAACAGTATCGCCTACACCACTGGTGAAGGGCTAATTTGTGGCTTCGCAGTAGACCAATCTGCTGTCTTAGCATTCCTTA